TGATCATAGATGGTAACCTTTTTATATTTGAACAAAGAAAAAACACAAAACTTGGGCAGTTGTAAGGGCCAAGAATGGAGGCGGAGGTGCTTGGCTAGGCAGCTCTTGCACTCGTGAGGAGAAATGCGAATCTGATGTACATGTGGGCATTTGGACAGAAATGAACAGAAAGGATGGGAGAGTACATGGTGGAACTGACTCAACTAGTGACCTAGCAGGTGTATGTGGGCCTGTGGGTCTGATGTAAAAAGAGGGAGTGGGATCTCAAATGAATTTGAGTCAATTAAGCAAGATGACGAATGAATAATTAAGCAAGATGAAGAATGAGTGAGGAGACTAGCAGATTGGAGTGCTGTGTATAGAGGTAGAATGCGGATTCCTGGGCTCAGGTTCACTACGTGTCGGATACTGGGATAAAGCCCTTGTCTTCACCTTCGGAGCTTGGTGCCCGAAGAGGGACGGAGGTGAACCACCACAAAGCTGGTGGGGGCAGCGGAGAGTGTGTATGCAGGGTATCTGATAGGAGGAATCGTGAATGCACACTCGCGCAGAGCTGACCGCGCCTGCGGGGCCCGCCCGACCCAGGTAGAGCAGCCTGCGCAATGCGGAAGGCGTGCACACCACGCCCAAGTCCCGCAGTTAGTCTCTGGCCTGTGGGGAAGCCCTGAGCTCTCAACTTCCTGGTAGTGCGAAAGCTGCTTGGCGCGCATGCGCGTATCCACCCGAGGCTCTGTCCCAGGCGGCGGGAAGTAGGTTTTCTGAGTAGCAATTGAGCAGCTTGAAGACCACTGGAGACGACGGACCAATAAGCAAACGTCTCATTGGCTTACGCGCTCAGGCTCCCGACTCCCCAGCTTCCCATTGGGTCGTTCAAGTAGGACCGGGGCGTGGCTCCAGGGGCTCCGCCCCCGCCTCGGCCCAGCCTCAGGGGTCCTGGGCTAAAGGCACCGGACGGAAGTGAGCGGCTTTCGCCCCTTCCCCCCTCTCGTCCCTGTAAGCGCCGCCGCGCTGCCCGCTTTCCGGCGAGCCGGAGTCTCCGAGCCGTACCCTCGTCCCCGGCCGCGCGGAGCCGGGATGCACTGCTCCTGCGGTGGGTCCTCATCATGGAGACGAAACGGGTGGAGATTCCCGGCAGCGTCCTGGACGATCTCTGCAGGTACCGCGGCGCCCGCGCCCTCCCAGCCCGTTTCGTCCTCTCACTGGTCTTCTCGGATTCGAGGCCCGCAGAGGCCTCCGCCCGCCCGCCGCCGGCCCCAGCGTCGAACCCTTTCCCTGGGGACCCCCGTTTCGGACGACACCACCCCTCTCTTTCCGCCACGGCCTCAGCCTCTCTAGTTCTCACCCCTCTTGGCGGAGCCCCGGAAGGTCCTCATTTTCTTAGTTCCCCAGTTACTGTGCTTGCCCTCGGGCGAGGGCGCTCCTCAAGCTTGGGTC